AATGCTCGATCGCGGATGCGATGAAAATTGCAACCCCCAACAAAAAAGTTACCAGCAGTTTGCCAAACAATCCGGTGATCTGATTGGTCAATATTAGGTAGTCGCCACTACGCCAAATTCAGAAATTGGGGTTGTCGCGGAAGCTGTCACAACGCCGATTTAGCCAGTAAGGTTTGTGAGCATGCGCAGATGTCCGTTACGCTCTATTAGTTGGTAGTAGACTGGCCGCGTAGTCAAAACGAAAAATGCCTAATGCCTATTATCGCTACTTGGAACAGCAACAACTCGAAAGTCCTATGCTACTGCACTGTAATGCATAGGCCTATTTTAATACACTACTAAGATAGGCTTTTCTTTTTCAATCTTGATTTCAGAGGTCAAAAACATTTTTCTAATTTTTTTTTCAATCATATAGTGGTGTAGACTGGTCTTCTAAGATCATTTTCCTGGAAACACTTTTTGGATACGACGACCCGTTATGGAGTTATGATTTATTAAATAACATGATGTCAGAAAATCAGCCCAAAAGCTTATCTTATTTCTGTTGGTTACGCACCGCTGATTCGCAGTGTTTGTCATCACTTCAAGATGTCTACCGATTCGTGAAAAAGGCCTATAATTGTCCGATTGTATCTCGACACATTTCAGAATTAGGCTAGCCTAGGCCTGGTGTGATTTCTGACCATAAATTACGTTAAAATTTCATATACATACCAAAACTGAGTAACAATTGCAAAACCAACAAATGTTCGTAAATAACGCAACCAGTCAACTAGCGGCCGGAGACAGACGATACCAAAGATACTAGAAATACAAGATAGAGTTCTCCCAAAGATACTAGAAATACAAGATAGAGCACTCGTATTGTGAAAATGAGGCGGAAGTCGTGCTCTATGGAACGCCGTTACTGCCTTTAGTGGCTCTTTTCCGTTCAGCGCATTTGCTATTCGGCCCTTTTACATTACGTCTGTGCTTTTACATTACAACATTACGTTCGGTGCTTTTACATTACGTTCGGTGCTTTTACATTACGTTCGGTGCTTTTTACATTACGTTCGGTGCTTTTAACATTACGTTCGGTGCTTTTAACATTACGTTCGGTGCTTTTACATTACGTTCGGTGCTTTTACATTACGTTCGGTGCTTTTTACATTACGTTCGGTGCTTTTAACATTACGTTCGGTGCTTTTGCCGCACTTCGGCTCTTTTATCATTTGGTGCTTTTACCTTTCGGCCCTTTCATCATTACGTACGGTTCTTTTATCATTCGGTGCTTTCATGACCTTTGACATCGGGTCAAGTCGAAAAAAATCAACGGCTGTGGGAATGAGCCTAGTGGAAAATCGCGCGTAACAAAGCATATTCGACATGTGATTATCTTAGTGATAAAATTAATAACTAACGAAAACAAAAATGTCTCGATCAATCAAAACAGTATTAGAAGACCAGGATCTACATTTTCTTGTCCCTAAGTTTGAAAGGGAAAGGGTACGTTCTAGTTTTTTTCCACATGATTTTGGTGGTATATTAGGGCAAATAGAAATATAAGATTTATAGACCTAGTATTGAAAACAAAAATAAATAGGGGGACTCTTCTTTATTCCGTATATGAAGAAGCAGGCTTATTTAAAAAAAAAGAAGAAACGTAATTAATTAATTAATTAATTAATTAACTAATTACCGGTAACAAGTCCGATCCCATTTTTGGCTTACATAATACATAAAAGTTAAACTCAAAATTTCCCTCTCCAGTTGATTGATTTATTTTCCCCTCCCTTTAAAGTCCGGTCGTTTTACAAATGCTCCTTCCGTGGTTATCTCGTATTTTGATATTGGTATTTATGTTTTTGTCTTTTTATTTTGTCTACCTTTTTAATATTATATAATATATATTTTATTCTTACTTCTTAATTCATACGCAATTCAGCTTTTGTTGCTGCTATGTATGTTTTTGATGTTAAATTTTTAATAAATATACCTCAAATAAATAATAAAAACTTAGCATTTATATTACAACAAAGATACACATTTGCAGGGGTCCCAAGTTGGAAAAAGGCAATTCGTGAAGCAGGGTGGAGCCAGTGCAGTGGGAGGGTACAGGGAGAACACCCATCTCTTGGGGAGAAAATCCACAATTCCACATTTAGAACTCCCGATCTACGGTCAATTTGTTTCCGTCTTGCGGCATCTGATACGGTACCATTTTAATTGTTATTTAGGGCCTACCATGTTGTATATTTGCCTTTACAGCATTATTATTATTATTATTATTATTATTATTATTATTATTATTATTATTATTATTATTATTATTATTATTATTATTATTATTATTATTATTTATATATATATATACATATATATATATATATATATAGAAACGAACTTATCACAGCTTGTATACATTATTTGAGCACTGTGTTACGCCCTCTTATATGTATATATATTATGTATATATATATATTATATGAAGAATGCGTGCCCACCTGTGTTTCAAAACATGAATATAATATAGCGTAACAGTAATGAAATTAAGAAGTTGACTTTAGAAACACTAAAATTTAAGATTCTGGATAATATATATTAAAAAGGCAAATGGGAAAACCCAACAGCAAATGGTCATATAATGCAAAATGGCCATTTAATGCAAAAAGAAATACTGTTCCGATTTAAAATTAAATCGGAACAGTAGACTTGGCCATTGTCTTTCCTCGCTTGTCAACGATCGACGGCACGAAGAAAGAGAGAAAGAGCGCGCAAGTTCCACTAGGCTCGTTCCCACAGCCGTTGATTTTTTCCCACTTGACCCGATGTCAAAGGTCATGAAAGCACCGAATGATAAAAGAACCGTACGTAATGATGAAAGGGCCGAAACGTAATGTTTCAAAGCACCGAATGTAATGTTAATAAAAGCACCGAACGTAATGTAAAAAGCACCAAACATAATGTAAAAAGCACCGAACGAAATGTAAAAGCACCGAACGTAATGTAAAAAGCACCGAACGTAATGTAAAAAGCACCGAACGTAATGTAAAAGCACCGAACGTAATGTTTAAAGGGCCGAATAGCAAATGCGCCGAACGGAAAAGAGCCACCAAAGGCAGTAACGGCGTTCCATAGTGCCCAACATAGGCGGCGCTCTTCTTTTTTTTAACCATGCAAGTTTTCTATCTGTTTTCTCCATAGAGCTATTAAACATAGAGATATAATAAGAATACTAGAGCGCTAACCCCAATGTATTCGATGTTCGAAATACGCAGAACTATGTGTGTGTGTACCATCCAAGATGGCTGCCATAGATTTAGCCAATCAAATTTCGCTAAGCACCATCGTTTGCAATTGCGTCCTCAATTTACTCAGAAAGTTCAGTACAGTTAGTTACCCGTATGTTGAAACTCGAGCGTTGCGGTGTTTGGGTGTAATGTACACGATTTTAATTTTCATTCCTTGGTACTTTATTTTTGAATAAGATGCTCCACTTGGCATCATTTTGGCTACAATAGTTTAATAACTTGTTATTACCATTACTCATTACCATTAATGAAATAATAGTCAGTCAGAGGGCTTATTAATATGTAATAATTTGTATACTAAGCCTGAAGGTGGCGCTTTACTACGACGGCCATCTTGGATGGTACACATACATAACTCTGCATTGCTGCGCCATCTTGTCAGCACTCTAGTTGTTTAATAGCTCTATGTGTTTTCTATACTTCGTGCCCAACGTTCAAGGCGCCCTTCTGTTGCTAAGTATATCCAGACGCAAAAGGCGCCCTTCCTTTTCCATTAATGGAGGAAAACTTTTTCACAAAGTGCGTCCGGCCATAAGATTCTGCGCTGTATTGTTGTTTTATTCTTTACTGATTCATGATTATGCTTTAATTGTTTTGTGTATTATTTGGATAATAGCAACGATTCCTACCGCCACCAAGGAGGTTATGTATTCACCGATGTCACTAATAAAAAGTGATTGGTAAAAACTCATAATACCGGTACGGGACGTCGGTAAAGAAGTGCAAAATACAGTCATCATTATGAATTCTTGTGCTTTATTGATCATACTATAATAGGTAGGCCTATTAGCTCCTATTAGATATAAAAAGATAATATAAAGATTCGGCTTTATTATTCTAATTAGAGACTAAAAAGCGGATATAGGCTATGCTAGGTAGGTAGACCATGGAAATCCCGGTCCAAAAAGTGGTCTTAAAGCCCATTCCCGGCAAAATTTCACTAAAAACTGACTTTTTTTAGAAAGTATGCATTTGCATTACTCCAATTATTATAAATCATGGAAAAATATTGGCAAGAATTTTAGTTTTACGCAAAAGAATTAAAAAAAAAACCAGAAATACAGACTATTTCTCATAAAATATTACCATTTTCTCGACGAATTCATCGTTACTAGGCAAATTCTGAGGTTGTAGATCGCATCCACTGGAATACTCTCGCTTTTATGTATACTTTATACAGTCAATAAAGTGCGCCCTCTCTAATGAGATTAGTTTTTTGTACTTCGAATCTCGCACAATGCGGTCGTTCGATTAGGCTGAGATATGTTTTTTAAGTGTCAAAATCTCAGTCAGAATCAGTTTTTTAACAAATTTGAAATAATTCCTATGAAATATTATATTTCACAAGTGTCAATACTAGCAACAGAAAATATCATGTCGGCCGTTTGTATGTGTGATAACAGAACCTAAATCGAGGTAAGGCTAGACCTAGCCTAGCAGAGTTAGGTAGGCTAATGTTTTCGGCGCCTACGATATTTCATCTCACTGCCTATCGCAAAATCTAACATGAAAAATTCATCCGCATTTATTTTTTTGTGTGGAACACAAAAAATCAAATTTCAGTCTTATTTTACATTTTTGTCATTCTTTAGGAATGTCTAAATTCAGTTAAACTAGCAATTCCGTATTATATTTATAAATCTTTATAACATTATACAAAAATTAGATTTTTCTTAAAAACTGAAATTTTGCCGGGAATGGGGCTTTAAGTAATTAGAGTTACACCTGTATTAATATTATTACATTTCCTTTACCAAAAGAGCTCCATTTTCACGTCATTCATAAATAACTAACTGCATACAATATTGCGTTATTATAAGAACGAGTAATATTTAGTACTTTTTTCATTATTTTAGGCTAGTCTAATTATTTATTTATTTTTTTTCAATATCTTAGCTACGCAAGTCAATAGGCCTAGGCTAATTCATATGTCAAGTTTAAAAAAACAAAATGTTAATATATATTTATAATATATATAGCTAATTTTTGGTTTAATGGTCAGTGCAATATATTACCTTTCCCTATCCTTTGGAAATCGATATAAATTATGACCCTGTTTGTATGATGTGTTGCAATTTACTGCACAGCAACGCCCTCCAATACCGTACGTCGCCATAGCGCATCGCGGTGTACAATTTTTTAATTGAGAATTGATAATAAAATACTCGACGACTTGGTAACGGAAGTTTGGCAGAAGTTTTTTTAGATCCAACTGTAGGGGGCGTCCCATTGTTTGTATTCCTACCATGCATTTCGGGGGAACACTTTTTTGTGTGGAGAACTCTATCTTGTATTTCTAGTAATGACAAAATATTCTCTGTATCTACTGGAACCGAGCCACATAGCTTGTATAT